CGCGGCAGCGCAGGCAGCTGCCGCGGCGAGGGTGTGAAGCCCCATACCGCCCGTCCTTACTACGGGACGTGCTGGCTGCGATCTCTGCTCTCTGGTGCTCTCTCGCATCGCTTTCGAACTGCGGCTTGTTCCCTCGCCGCACACACTAGTGTCCGGCCCAGCCGAAGAATGTACCTGCGAGAGGTCGTGTGTGTCTGTGTTTTGCCATGTGACTGAGGAGGGAAATTAGCATTCGCTTCCACACACGCTCGTAGACGTAGTCACTGATGCATATCGGGGAGGACCCGCGTCGCGCCAGGCCGCAGGCGACGCGCAGCTGCAGCGGCCGCTGCGAGGCTGGCGGTTGGACACCCCCCGGGCCCGCCGCGCCACCCCGCCACGCGATCGTGGATCGTGCAGCCGGTGCGCGATCGGGCAACTGGCGCGCGCAGAATGCCAGACACTAATATGGCAAATTTCTCATTCGTTGACGTTGTACCATGCGGCCCCCCGTCCCACACACGGGAGCCAACACAAGAAAGGCGCTTGTGTGCGGAGACGAGACACCCGGGCGCCGGGGTCGCACAAGTTCGTTCGCAACGATCCAACGAACCATCGCGCACACCAACCAAGCCCGCACGCGAGAGACAGAGTCAGAGAGCCGGAGTCGATTTTGTACTGTGACTGCGGGGCCCAAGCCGATCGTCAGTCCGTAGGCAGGCGGATGGCGGACGAAGGGCCGTCGGAGAGATCAGCCGCGTCTGATCGCCACATGACCCCTCACGCGCGCTTGCCCTGCTGCCACTCGCTGATCTGGCTGCGCAGGTTGTAGTTGGGGATGAGGCCGAAGGACTCGAGGTCCGCGTTGGTCGTGGGGCTCGTCTTCTTGCGCTTCTTGTGCACCCAGTGCACGATCGCGTGGCGCTCGTAGGTGTACCCGTCCGAAGCGATGACCGGGTCGATCATCACTTCGAAGGTGATCGGGCAGACAAAGGCGTCGGGCGGCTCGTCGCGCCGAGCGGCGGATATCGACAGCTTCTTCTCGAGCTCGACAAGTGCCTGCCGCGCCGCCGCCTGCTCCGCCAGCGTCTTGCCCGCCGCCTTGCCCGCGGCGCTGACGGAACCCTCGGGCGCGACGATGACGGTAGAGAGGAAGACGGCGTGTCCAGACCCGTCCGCCAGCGGCATCGTCGAGTAGTGGACCTTGCGACGCGTCGCCATCGCAAGCTGGTTCAGCTCGCTCTTGTAGTCGGGTTTCGAGCCGACCGCCGCCATGAGCGACTCCACCGCGTCGCCAGCGATGCGCTCCACTTCGACCACCGCCGCTTCAACGTTCGACTTGTCGGAGAGGGACGCGACGGCGCGCAACACGCGCCCCGCGTCGTACCCCATTGTGACGAGCGCGCGGACCGTCGCATTCTCGGCGGGGGAAGGAGCGGGCGCCACCGGCGCCGCCTGGCCGAGAGCAACAAGCGGCGCAGTGCGCCGCCGCATGGTGGACTCCGCGACCTCGGTGATCCAGGTGAGCATCTTGTCTCGCTGTACTTTGCGCGCAGAGAGGATGGTGATCTCTCGCTCCTTGTCGAGCCGAGTCAGATCGATGAGGCAGCCAAACTCGCTGCACCGGTCAAAGATCTGTAGAGTGCGGGAGAGTGTATTAAAGAGGGAATGTAATAAAGAGAACGGGCGGTGTCTTCAAAAAGTCACCGCGATGCGTCCGTTGTTGCGCGCGTGCAGCGACTCCTTGACGACCGCGTGGTTGTACTGGTCCGGGACCCGAACCACGTGGGCAATCGGGGGCGAGATGTTGCGGAGCAAACTCGCGTCAAAGCCGACGAAGGACCGGCGTGGCTTGTCGTAACAGAGGCGAAAGAATAGGTAGACGGCCGCGATGCGTCGCTCCCGGTGGCTGCGAGGGTAAGATGGGGAGGGGACGATCTTGGAACTAAGGTTGCCTAACACTAGATGGGAAGGGGCGGGAAGGGCGGGAAGGGCGGCGGCGCGGCGAGGGCGGGTGGGGGCGGCGAGGGCGGCGGCGGTGAGAAGCGGGGGCGGGTGGGGGGGGGACCTGCCCACAAGCTTGAGCTTGAGATCGCCACCTTTGTCTACGTAGGATATCTTGCAGCCCGACGCGGCCACCACCACCTTGTACGTGGCGAAAAAGCTTTCGCGCTGATCGTGCGGCACGTGAAACGTGGCAAAATGTGCCGCCTCGGACTCAGCGTACGAAGACTTGGCGCTCCACATGGAGCGATCGCCTAATAGTCCGCATGATGTAAGGGCGCCGCCAGCAAACGAGGGAAGAGGTTCTACAAGATGGCGTCGCCGCGCTTGGCCGGCGCCGCAGAGGGTGGCGGCGCGAGCGGGCGCTCGGCGCGCGTTAGAGCTGAGGGTGTGCAGCGAGTAGCATGCGGAGCGGCGTCCGCGATTGACGGCAGTGTTTTTGTGTGGCGAGGGACAGAGGAGCTTATACGAGCTTACTGTACGAGCGACTACCCAAACGCCGCAGCCGTGATCGAGAAAAAGAAATTTTGCCGCGGGGTGGCGTCAGAGGGGGGCATGGCGGCGGCGGCGGCGGCGGCGGGGTGGGGGGCGGCGGCAGCGCCGTTGGGGCCGTCTTCACCTGGTTGTTGGTGATCGGCGTCATCGCCGGCGGCGGCTACGTCGGCCGCAAGCGGTACGTGCGCGCGGGACGGTCGAAGGCCTCCACATCCGACTTTGCAGGGCATATCCTAAGCACGAGCCCACCCACCCTGCCTGCACAGCCTACACGCGCGCGCCGCGCGACCCGCGTCGCTCCTCCGCGAGGGCATGAGCCTTCCGCGATTCGAACCCACAGCCAAAAGCTGCTCGCTCGAACCGCGGCCGACTCTACCATCGCGGCCGCAGCTGCTGAGCTCTCCAGAAGACTGGTGCCTCATATGCTGCCTCCCTGCGGATGCTGCCGGCGAGCCTGGCGGTCCGCTGTACTACAAGGAAGTGCTGACTCGACTTCTTCCCGAATTCTTCTACCCCCACGACTCGGAACGCGAATGTGACAGGACCATCGGGTCCTTCAGCCACCAAAGTGAGATCACCCGAGTCAGAGCAGCTGAGCCTGCCTCTGGCCTCGCCTCCCTCTCCTTCAGGCATTCGTGGCATCCTATGGGTCGTCCAGAGTATCGACCTCTGGCGAGTCAGCCAGCCCCGCTTTGAGGGCGCCATGAAGTACAGCGATCGCCACCTCGCTGGCCTCTCCGCAGGCCCCCCCGACCGCGTCGAACTCATCGGCGCGGGCTCTCTCGGCTACGGGACCGGCCCCAGCTTCGGCTGAGGGCTGACAAGCTGCCGAGCCCAAATCACTGTGAGAGTCGTGATTTATTGTTGGTTTTCTAAAATCTTTGTTGTAAAATTCTAAAATCTCTGCTGTACCAAGAAGATTAAATTCTTTTTTGCTTGAACTTTGTAAGGTGCCTATATGGGCTTCCAGTATCGGACCTTCAAGACATGCGCTTTTGGCCGGTGGCCTCCTCGGACATGGTACCTCCGGTGAGATGAGTGGCTGCCAGTTCGAGACTGGGGCCGATCGAACTTGAGTTGTTCGGAGGAGGAATCCGGCCAGCACGGGTACAAAGAGGGGTACCTGGAGAATCCCCAGCTGCGGAAACGTAGTGTCGCTCAAGATGTGCGATACTGCGGGGGAGTGTAAGGTGCCTATATGGGCTTCCAGTATCGGACCTTGAGGCCATGCGCTTTTGGCCGGTGGCCTCCTCGGACAAACTTGTTCTTCGACAGGGACGCGCGCTCGGACGGCAAGTTCAGCGCGCCTCTTCAATTGCTCTCTCTCTCTCTCTCTTCTAGAGTGCAGCCACAGCAGTGCTTTGCAACCGCTAGCCAAGGCATGGACAGCTGGTTGGCACTTTCAGTCAGCTGCGTGGTCGTCACTGCGGTTGGATCCTTTGCAAGCTCCCTCGGCGGCGAGCTGCTGTTCGACGACCTCAAGGCCATCAATGAAAACAACGATGTTGTCCATCACGCGCCCTTTGTCGAGATTCTACGCCACGACTACTGGGGTACTTCCATCCGCAGCTCGGGCTCCCATGGCTCATGGCGACCGCTGACAACGCTCACCTTTCGCTTCAATCACGAGCTGCATGAGCTCGAGCCTTTCGGCTACCACGCGGTGAATGTAGCCCTTCACGGCCTAGTGAGTGTGCTCTTCCTGCTGCTGCTGCGACGGATCCTGCTCCCCACGGATCTTGCCGCGGCCACCTTTGGCGCTTCGCTGTTTGCGGCGATTCCTGTGCATTGCGATGCGGTGGCAAGCACTGTCGGCCGAGCCGAAGTGCTCTCGGGGCTCTTCGTCTTCGCCGGGGTGCTCGTGCACTCGCTCGGAGAGGACTACACTTCACCGACTGCACAGCTGCTCCTTCTCTTCTCAACCGCCGCCGCCGGGGCCACTGCCACGATGTGCAAGGAGCAAGGCGCGATGATGTTTGTGCTCTGCCTCGCTCTTGAGATCCTGGTCGCCTCGCGTGCTCCAGTGACGACGGCACCTGGGCCGCGGCGTGCAGCGCGCCTCGGATCAATGGCGGGTGCCGCCTTTGCGGTGCTGTACCTGCGCCTCAAGGTGGCGGGCGGCGTGACGCCCGAGTTTGGCGTCGAGCAGAACCCGACGGCGCACCATCCCGAGTTTGCCGTGCGCGCGAGGCGCCTTCCCGCGCCCCTTCCTATCCAGCCCTGCCTGCGAACGTGTGCCCACGCCGCACCGCACCGATGCTTGCGCCCTGGCCCGCAGGACCTTTGCGTACCTCGCCGCGAGGCACACGCTGCTGCAAGTCCAGACCAGCGGCTTCTCGTGCGACACGACTGGCTCGTCCATCCCGCTGTTGGTCTCATCGACGGACCCACGGCAACTGCTCACCGCCGCCATCGCACTGCCGATCGGAGCGCTGGCTGCAGCGTCGACCATTGGGGTGCTGCGGCGCTGGCTTCGTCCGCCCGCAAAGGCCAGTGACCCCCGCGAGGACGGGCTCGGCGGAGTGTGGTTCGCGCTGGTGCTGCTCATCGCGCCCTTTCTGCCTGCGAGCAACTTACCCTTCCATGTGGGCTTTGTGCTCGCAGAGCGCGTGCTCTATACTCCCTCCGCCGGGGTGTGTGCGCTCGCCGCCCTCGGCCTCCACGCGGCGACTAGCTCCGTCGCTGCCGTCAAGAGCAAGAGTGGAGCGAGCGGCGGCGGCGGCGGCTTGGGCTTGGCGGGGATGAGCACTCCCACTCTGAGGGCGATGAGCGTGGGTGTAGTGGCGGTGTACGCCTCAGCGGCGGTGCGGCGCAACGGCGCGTGGGCGACGCACAAGACGCTCTTCCGCTCTGCGGTGGCCGCCTACCCCGAGAATGTGGAGATGCACCGCGCGCTTGCGGCGACGCTCACCAACTTCGCCGACAGCGACGCGGAGCGCGAGGAGGCGGTCGAGCTGTACGCGACGGCGATGCGCATTGACCGGCGCGACGGGCGCCCGACGCCGCCCCGCGTGATTTTTAATCTGGGCGTCGCTCAGATGGGGCTTGGCCGGCTCGACGAGGCGGAGTCCTCCTACCGGCAGGCGGTGCGCTCCTCGCCCACGTCCAACCGGGCGTCGCGCGCCTCGGGCGAGGTGTCGACGGACGCCTTTGCGCGGTACAACCTGGGGCTCATCCTGATGCAGCGGGCCGAGGGGGCGTCAGCCGAGCCCGACCGAGCCGCGCCGCTCAACGAGGCCTTGGACCTCTTCGGGCAGGCCTATCACATCATCGGCGGCAGAGCCGCCGCAGACCAGCACGCCGCCCTGCTGGGCCACGGGTGCGGCGAGCTCGCGCGCCTGCTGGGGCAGGCCGAAACTCGGGGCGATGGCATGTTCCTCAAGGCGTTGATCATCGCGCTGATGGAGAAGCGGCGGTGTGAGGACTAGGTCCTAGAGGAAATTCCACACAGAGACAAAGAGAGAGTGACTGCCCCTGAACACTACGGCTCAAAAGTGTCTTTTTCACCCTCACCGCGCATGGAGGGTTGGGGTGGTGGCCAGATTGGGGCGCTCGCGAGCGAACTGAGATCCGAGGTGTGAGAAGCGCTCTATTGATCGTCGAGCAGGATTGCGCCCCGTGCCGCACACCGTGCGCACGCACACAACTCTCACAAACACGGCGCGCTCGCCGGTGAAACTTTTTTCCCGAATGGTAAACGACTCTTGAGAGAGTACGTGGATTACGGCTTAAGGGTCGCACGAAACGGTGTCAACAGGATTGGTTGCTCACGATAATAAACACGTGCACGCATGGGGCATGGCTCGCGCGAGCTTGTGCTCTGTGTAAAACGGGATCTGACAGAGGTCTCCGTCCTCGCGCGCTGGGAGAAGCGATACCCGCCCGCCGCCGCACCCGCGCCTAAGCCCACTAGATCAAGACTGCGATAGAAGCGCGTCGCGCCGTCGCAATCGGAGCCACCGCCTCCCACGCATTCGTATCCAAGTCGTACCGCTCGACCGAGCTGAGGCGGTTGTAGCCGTCATCCTGTCCGCTCACCGCATACAGCTTGCCGTCGAGCACCGCCACGGCGAGCTTATACCGCGCCTCTGCCATCGGCGCCACCGCTTCCCACACATCCAGCGCCGGATCGTACCGCTCCACCGAGCTGAGGGCGTTGTAGCCGTCGTCGTACCCGCCAACAGCGTACAGCTTGCCGTCGAGCACCGCCACGCCGAAAGCTATCCGCCGCACCGCCATCGGCGCCACAGCTTCCCACGCATTCGTAGCCGCGTTGAACCGCTCCACCGAGTTGAGGTAGTGTACACCGTTGTAGCCGCCCGCAGCGTACAGCTTGCCGTCGAGCACCGCCGCAGAAAAATTACACCGAGCCGTCCCCATTGGCACCACCGCCTCCCACGCGTTCGCAGCCGGGTCGTACCGCTCCACCGAGTTGAGGTAGTCACCGTTGAAGCCGCCCACAGCGCACAGCTTGCCCTCGAGCACTGCCACGGCGGAATTCTTCCGCGCCAACGCCATCGGCGCCATAGCCTCCCACGCAATCGTAGCCAGGTCGTACCGCTCCACCAGGTCGGATATTGCGCCGTCAGCCTCACTCTGGCCGCCCACCGCGTACAGCTTGCCATCAAGCACCGCCATGCCGACAAACTTTCGTGCCGTCGGCATCGGCGACACAGCCTCCCCCTCCCACTCATTCGTGGATGGGTCGTACCGCTCCAGCGAGTTGACAAGCTCGTAGTCGCTGCCTTCGCCGCCGATCACGGCCAGGCGCGGCCTCTCGCGCTTCTTCAGCGTCTCCTTCCAGCCGCGGCGCCACGCGCGGCACGTCCCCTTGGCGGCGTGCTCCTTGGTCGGCAGCTGGGCGAGGATGTGCGGGGCGAGGTCCGGCGAGAGGAGGACCTCAGAGAGCACCCACTCGGGCTGCTCCACGAGCCGTGCGGCGTGCTCCTCCGCCACGCGCAGCGCGGCGGCGCTCCATAGAGGCGCCTGCTCGTCGATCATGGCGCACAGCTGCTCTGGCGAGAGGCCAGACAGGCGGGCGCCGATGCGGTGGGAGGCCATTGCACAGCGTGGGTTTTCTTTTCACGTCGCTTGGAGATATAAAGCCATATTGGGGCGCTCGCGAGTGAACTGAGTCGATCGTCGAGCAGGTTTGCGCGCCGCAGCGTGCGCACGCACACAACTTATTGCTAAAAATCTCTCTCTCACAACTTACAATCGAAACTTACAAACACACTCACGAGGCCTCAGGCCGAGCGTTTTTGATCTCTCGGTCTGTGGGGGGCCGAGCCGCCTCGGGGTGGCGGGCGGGCGGGCGTTTTGAAAAACAGAAAACAGAAAACAAGGGGGGGGGGGGATGCGGCGGGGCCCCCCAGGCCCCCCACTGGGAGTAGAAAAATACGCCCAAGGGGGCCAAGGAGGCGGCGCGGGGAAGCAGCATCAGGTGAGAGCAGGAAGGATGGCGCTTAGGGTCGGCTTTGAACAAGGGTTTCCAGGTTTTAGATCAGTATTGGTGTCGGCACACATCCCCACATGACACATGAGGTCAGCGGCGCGCAGTACCTCTCTCGCAGGCTGATTTTGGCTGTTTTCGAGCTTGTTTTTGTTTTCAGACTAGGGGGCCCGACCCCCTCAGAGGCGGCGGGCGGGCGCCCACAGACCCAGGGATCAAAAACGCTCGGCCTCACGCGACGGCGCTCGCGGGGCCGGGGGACGCGCGCGGGGAGGACGGCGGGGAGCGATAGAAAACTGGGTGGGCGTGAGGGGCCGCGTTGGTATCATAAAAAAAACTGTTCAGTTTTCAAAGGCAAAAACGCCGGCGTACGCCCTCCCCTCACACTGACACTTCTCCCCTATTCCCAACTTTAGGTTGCGCACGTCTCCCAGCGAGCTAGGATCTCCGCTTTTTCTCCCCTAGTCATCCGCCCGCGCCGCGCGCCTCTATGGGCGTCTAGTGCAGCCACTGACAGAACTATTCCCGAGGAGTGGTCGACGTCTCGCCTGAAGTCGGGTGGGCTCGCGCACTGCTTAGCCCTAGGGGAGGGGTGTGTGTGAGGTGGTGGAATGGTAAGGTTTCGGGCCACAGGGGTGGGGGATTTGGGGGATGAGTCAGGAGCCAGCAGCCTTCCTACTGGACCTGAGTTCTCAGCTCTTCCGCCCGACGGGGTGGTCCCTTGGATTCGGGCCCCGCTCCCTTTTCCTGCGCCTGGTCTGTCCCTGTCATGAGTGTGTTGCGAGATGCAGAGCGGTTAGCTGGAGCACAGAGCTGGAGCACTGTCTGGTTAGGCTGGAGAGCTGTTAGGCTGGGGCACAGAGCTGGTTGGGCTGGAGCACAGAGCTGGTTAGGCTGCTGGTTAGGCTGGGGCACAGGGCTGGTTAGGCTGGAGCTGTTGGAGCACAAAGCTGGTTAGGCTGGAGCGCGGGCGGTGCGGCGGCCGGCGAGGGCAGCGCGGTAGGCGAGAGGCGGCCGCGGGGCGTCGAGTGGCGCGATAGGAGGGTAGGCTGGCCGTGGGGGGGCGCCGCGTGACCTCGGCAAATAAGTGATAAATATTGGTTTATGAGGGGCCAGTTTGTACGCATTGGCAACGAGCCTGGGGCGTGGCCTAGTTGGTGCAGCGTTCGGGTCGGGGTCGTTTTGGTCGTTGGTTCGAGCCCAGCTGGTGCAGGTCGTAGTCGCGCAGCGACGCGGGCGTGCGGGTGCGCGGCAGTGCGGCAGTGCGGCAGTGCGGCAGTGCGGCAGTGCGGCAGTGCGGCAGTGCGGCAGTGCGGCAGTGCGGCAGTGCGGCAGTGCGGCGCGCCGGATTTTTTCGATGGGCTCGGTCCGTGGGCGTGTCAGGAGGCGGCCGGCTGGGAGAAACTTGCGAAAAACTCCCAGGCCGGCCCAGGTGGTGGGTGTGTCACGGAGGCGGCCATTGGCACGCGCTCCTTAGTAACCGGGGTCAAGTTTTTTCGCGTTGGTATCATAGAGTTTCGCGAGGCGACCGAGCGGAAAAAGTATCACAAGAGACATACACGGAGACCTCGGGACACCTTCGCTGCTAACACACGTACACGTACGAGCGAGTAGAGTCACTCGAATCGCGAAAACTGGGCGGACTTCACTTGTGTGTCGCCGTACAGGGAGCGGGTGGCGAAGAGGCCGCCGGCGCCGAGAATCCCGAGCACCAGCTTCACGAGCAAGCAGCCGAGCGACGGCAGACGGTCGTCGTGGCAGGCATCAAAGAGGGCGGGGATGATGTCGTAGTCGATGAGGTCCCACAGGCCCACCCACACCGCCAGGCCGCATAAGATGGCGCCCAGGCTGCGGCAAAACTTGGACAGCTCGAATCTTGGCGCGCGGAAGTACTGGCGGGCGGCGGGCGGTACTCCCGCCGGCGGCGCGTGTGCCTTAGGCTGCGCGGCGGTCCGGAGCTGCGGCACCGAGTGGGCCGGCCGATCCGCTTGCGGGCCTGCGCGTGCGGTCACGACAGCCGGCGGCGGCGAGGGCGGCGGCGAGGCGGCGGGCGAGGCGGGCGGAGAGGCATCGCTCGAAGCGGGGCGCGCACCGCCAGCACCGGAGCCGGCGGCCCCCTCGGGAATGATGTGGGGAGGGGCAGCAGCAGCGTAAACGGGAGCGGCCGCCTTTGCTGCTCCTCTCAGCGGCAGTGGCTGCCCGCTCAACGGCTGCCCCGCCTCGCTCTGAGGACTGTCACTCGGCGAGACGAAGACGATGCGTCCGATCTCACCCTCGCTCCCGGTGGAGCTCGGTCCGGGCTGCCCGGACCCCTCCACCGGTATCCCAAACCCCTCCGCCGGCGTCTCCAGCCGCGCGACCAGCTCTGCAGCCGGCCGGACCCTCTCCATGGCCAGGCCGGCGCCGAGCATCGGCTGGCCGCTTGCGCGAGAGGGGAAGGACTGGAGGGCGGCGGAGTCGGGCCGCGCGGCGCGGATCGCCTGCAGCATCTGCTTGTCATACAGCGTGCGAGAGAGGAAGAGGCCAACCACGCCGCCCAGGATGAGCAGCACCCGCGCCGCCCAGTGGTCGGCGTGCATGAAGGCGATGATGTACCTGGAGTCCGCACGAGACGATCAGCAAGCGCCGCGCGCGGCAGCAGCCGAGGGCCACGGGGCGGCAGCGCACGATGTGGCGTCCCAGAAGCCGATCCACAGCAGCACGCCCGACAAAATGGAGACAGACGCCTCGAGGATGGCCATCGGCTCAAAGTACGCTCGTTGGCGCCGCATGAACATCCAGAAGCGCCACGACCAGTAGGATCGACCCGCCATTTTAGCGGCGTAAACCCGTGTGGAGCTGCAGATGGAGAAGCGGCGGCGCGCCGGGAGGGATTTCTTTTTCTAGGCTTGTTGTGAAAGTGAAGCGAAGGAGTTTTGTTGTAAAATTCTTTTCTAAAATTATTATTACTGTTCTTCACCTTCCTAACCTAACCTAGCCTAGGAAGACGGCTGGGACGGATTTTTTTGCATCCTAATCGAACCAAGCTCTCTCGAGCTCAACACTGGGCACGGGACTGGCGGCACTGGCACTAGCAGAGGGAAAGAGGAAAAGAAGTTCTGTACCAGCTGCACTCCAAGTGCTCGAAGTGTGTGTGAGAGATGCCTTTCGTTCGGTCGGGGCCCGTCGGGGCTCAGAGATAAAACTTCTGATCTACTCGTACTCGAGTACAGTCTGTTTCGGGCATTAAGAAAACAGGATCCGGCGCCACGCCGCCGTTTCTAAGCCTTTCCACCCTCCCCCCCCCCCGTGGTTTCTTAGCCCCGGCCGGCACTCAGGTCAGCCGGGCCGAGCGTGTTTCCGTGAGAAAATAAAATATTAAGTAAGCTGCGGGATCACCACCTTGTAGCCGGCGGGGGCGCCCTCCAGCTTGATGAGCAGGTCCTCGTCCGTGCCATCGGCTGTGAGCAGGGCGCCGGCGTGCTCGAAGTACTTGGTTGCGCTTGGCCTCGCCCTGGAGCGCCTTCATGGAGGCCACTTGTAGAACCAGTGGGCGCGAGGAGATGCGGCGGTCCGAGGCCGTCAGCGTGTTCGACTCCCACTTCTCGAGGTTGTCCTCGTCGTCGAGCCACTCATCGAGCAGCTGCCCAAGGTAGACTTTGATCTGGCGCCCCATGCCGCGATCAATCGGCTGCACCTGGTCGGTCTCGTTGGGCGGCACCTTGTGGTCGTCGACGCCAACCGACTGTATCAACGAGGAGGGACTTGGGTGAGTGTGTGTCGAGGGCGAGGTGTGGAGGCGGGGGCAGCCGAGGCGGAAGGGGAGGCGACGGAGGGGGCGGAGGCGTAGTATTGGGCTGCGGCTGCAGCCCGGCACTGGCGCGGGCCTGCAGGCCTGCGCGCCTGCGGCGTTTGCCAGCCGGCGCGCCTGCGGCGCGCCGTGGTTTCTTAGATTTTCGCGGAAATCGCTTGGTAGGGTTTCTTAATGCTACGTTTTCTTAATGCCCGAAACAGACTGTAGCTTCTGATGGTGATGCCATGCGTGACAACCTAATAGTGTCCCCAGCTATGCCTATGGGCGTGTTCACGTTGGAGCGGAGGGAGGGGTGGGAGAACTGCGGCACAGGCCGACCCCTCTTTGATAGGTATATTGATGAGGGGGTCGTGCCCAGGAATTTCTCAATGTTTCAACTAAATAAATAAATACAACGGACATCCCAAGCTAGGGCTGGGTCGAGGGCGCATCGCCGCGCGTCAATGTTTCATAAAATAAATAAATAAAACGGGCACGCCAAACGAGGGGTGGGAGAAGGACAGGGTCCCCACCTGCGCGAGCAGGATCTTGTAAGGACGATCAGGGACACAGGGGAACGGGAGCGGGGAGCGCATCGCGACACGGAGGGGGGCTGGGCAGGGTTCACCCACACGACAGGGTCCCAGGGATTCCCCTTCTCGTATAGGACAGGTTGCACCCGGCGGCACGGGGGCAGGCGCGGGCCTCCTACTGGTTGCGCTCTCCTAGTTCTCCTGCTCCTGACAAGGGACAGCGACGGGCTCGCAGCACGGTGGACTCCCTATTCCACTGGCGATATCTCTCGACTAGCGACCTTCCTCCGGCTTCTCACTACACTGACAGAGGCGGCCAAAAGGCTCACGTGGGTGGCAGGGCGGTGATAGGAGTCTCCCACTCTGTGGGCTTCGCTAGAGGTGCGGCCCCTGCGCGTGTCCTCGCCCTTGGGAAGGTCTTGGAGGGGGAAGGGGAAGGGGCTGTGTGTCTGTGCATGTGTGTGTGTGTGTGTGTGTGTGTGTGTGTGTGTGTGTGTGTGTGTGTGTGTGTGTGTGTGTGTGTGTGTGTGTGTGTGTGTGTGTGTGTGTGTGTGTGTGTCTGTGTGTGTCTGCGGGCGCTGTGCGAGCCGCCCTGAACGACCACAATGTTGAGCGCGCTCGAGCACCGAAGCACCGCGAGCGCCGGCGAGCACCACCGCCCCGCGCCTTGGCGTGGATCGGTAGTACACGATGCGGCGCCCAGCATGCTCTATCATGCGTCGCACCCGCAGTGGCCGAGCCGACCGCCGCTCGAACTGGCGCCGAGTGGCTCCCAGATCGAGCGCAGCAGGCTCAGTCGCACCTTCGCGGGGCGAACGCGAACCGAGCCGTCGCCGTTCGCCGCAGCCGCCAGCCGCCAGCCGCCAGCCGTACAGCCGTACAGCCGTCAGCCGTCAGCTCGCAGTCGCCGTTGCTGCCGCCGCCGCAGCAGCAGTGAGCGAGCTCCTGTAAACAGACAGCTGCCCGCCCACTCGTTCAAAATCGCCCTCAATGTTTCAACATTATTTTGCGATCAATTGTAAAATTCTTTTCAATCGCGAAACGAACGCAAAAACGTTCGCGGGCCCAACACATGTACATGTACATGTTGTTGTATGGACGTGCCCGACACGGCCCTCGTCAAGAAGCTGGTCAAGGACGCGCTCCTCAAGCCGCGGTACCGCAACGAGGATCCGGCGGCCGCCACTGAGGCGGTGCTGCAGGACCACGGGCTGGCGTCGCGCCTCTCCAATATGCTCTACGCCAGCCGGCGGGCCAGTGAGGAGCCGCAGACAGTGGCGATGGCACGTGCACTGCGCGGCGCGGGTCGGGCGGCAGCGACCGGCGCAAGATCGGCTGCTCCTACAACGGTCTCCACCCGGGCGGGCGACGTCGCGGAGCTTGACATCATGCGGGCGCTGCAGGCGCGTTGGCAATCACACGTCGAGGCGGCGGTGCGCAGGCTATGCGCAGAGAGTGGAGGGCCTCTAATGCGCACCACCGCGGCGGGCGTCGTACCTGCACCAAAGAGCAGTCGGCAGCGGGGCCTGTACGAGCCCAGCGAGATGCTGCAGCTCGTCGCCGACGCGGAGGCGCCTCGCCCCACCCGAACCCATATCATCCCCCCCCCCCCCCAATGCCCACAACGGTCAAAGCCACCTGCTGAGGCGGATGCTCTGCCGACGCAGCACGACAACGCGATGTCTTCGCACACGGGATTGCGTGGCTGGGGGCTCGTCCCGTTCGAGCTCGCAACGCCGAGCTTGGGGGAGCTCGCAGACGGCTTTGGCGAGCTCCGACCGTCAGTCCGCCAGAGCGGCGTGGACGACGAGCTGCGCGGCTGGTCTGGCGAGGAGCGGCAGGTGCTTCCCATCCGTCTCCTCGAAGTCCCCGCTCACCACCCATCCACTGCCGCCCCCACACCCCCCACCCGGCATCTCACGCGTCGCTTGCGCTTGTAGCGGATGGCGGCGAGCGTACTCGCAGACGGCCACGTGCCGCTCCTTCTGCAGTTCTTGCGTTGCGGCACGCCGGCCGGCACGCGCAGCGCACTGTGGCGCGCGGCGCTCGGGGTGGAGATCGACCAGGCTGCCCTCTCGTACTATGGGCGGCTCGTCGCCGAGATCGAGCGAGTGGCGCTCGTGACCGACGGCCTACTCGAGCGAGACGCCATGGCGCCGTGGGATGAGGAGGCGCCTCGTCGCGTCTCCCGCCGGACGGCTCGGCGCCTCTAGACGCTGGCTGAGACTCACGCGTCGCAGCATAGGAGTACTTTCTCTTCCGCGAGCGCGTGGCGACCTTGCTCGCCGCTTTCGTGCGCGACCCGTGGGTGAGACGCCACTCGGCGGTGCCCAGCGTGCACGTCACAGGCGCCTCGCCTCAGACGGGCCGCTCGTACGTCTTCCCGCCAAATGGCGCACTCCCGCCGCGCGGCTTGTCTGCGTACGCGTTCCCGCTGGCGTACTGCTACTCCAGGCAACGCCGGCTGCACATTGGCGCTCCGGCGCACCGGCTCTGACGCTCTCACGCAGCGACCCCTCTCTCCGGCCTGCGCCGCGCAGGCCCGAGGAGGCCTACTTTATGTTCCGCGCTCTGTGGTCGCGCTACTGGTGCCGCCTGCACGTGCTCTCAGCGCGGCGAGAGACCCTCCTCCCGCTCTGCCGCCTCTTTGAGATGCTCGTGCAGGAGCACCACCCGGCGCTCTGCCTGCACCTGTGCCGGCTCGGCCTCCACCCCACGGCGGTCGCCTGGCGCTGGATCCAGTTCGCCTTTGCCGGGACGCTGCCCGTCGAGCAGGTGCTCATGGTGTGGGACCGCGTGATCGGGTTCGACTCCCTCGAGCTCCTGCCACTGCTCGCGGTCGCCATCTTTCTCTTCCGCAGCCACACGCTCCTCGCCGCCACCTCCGCCGAGGAGGCGGAGCGCATGCTGGCCAACTGCAGCGAGCTGCGCGTCGTGCCGCTGCTGCAGGCGTTCCTCTACTCGCCACCCTCGCTGATAGCCTCCACCCCGGCGCCAAAGTAGGATGGAGGGTAAAATCTGTGAGAAAAATCGTCTGTGGGCTGGCCACAGGGGATCTCTCTCGCATACGATGCGCACGGATTTCTCAAATTCTTTTTCTCACGTGCTGGGCCTCCACCCAGTGCGGCACACTGCACTCCATGACAGCCAACCCGCCGACGAACCTGCCTTCTCACCTTAAGCGCGTGGTGATCGACAACGGCGGCCACACCTGCAAGGTGGGCTTTGCCGGCCAGTCGGATCCGGAGCGGTGTCTGCTCAACGGCGTCGTCAAGACAAAGGGGCCAACGGGCAAGGTGTACGTGGGCGACCAGTACGAGGCATGCCCTGACTACTCGTCGCTGCAGTACCGGCTCTCGCTCGAGCGCGGGTGCCTCGTCAACTGGGACACGCAGGCCGAGGTATGGTCTCGCGCGCTCGGCGCTGACGTGCGTGGCTCGCCCTCCTGTCGGCCACTCGTTGCCGGATCGCCTCACTCGCCGCCCGCTTGCGTCAGGTGCTCGCCGTCAACCCGGCCGACTGCTCGCTGCTGCTGAGCGAGATCCCAATGTGCCCGACCTCCATACAGGCGAGCCAGAGAGTGGCTGCCGCGTCGCCCGCTCTCCGCTCGTACACATCTCACCTCGCCGCCATCGTCCTGCGCCGCCGCCTTGCAGGACACGCTCGACGAGATGGTGTTTGAGCACTTTGGCTTCCACTCCTACTGCACCCGCCCTGCGCCTGCCCTCGCCGCCCTCTCGATCGCCGCCCAGCAAGCGAAGCAGCAGGCAGCCAGACGCCACACGAGAGACACTTCCGAGACACGTCACCACGGCCCTCCTCTGCCAGCCATGCCCGCCCCTGCCAGCAGGCGCCGGAAGCGAGCGCGGCACCGCCAATGCCAGCCTCGCTCGTCGTCGACGCGGGCTTCTCCGCGACGCATGTCGTCCCGATCTTCGGCTCCGCCGCCCTCAACTACGGCATCAAGCGGCTCGGGCTCGGAGGCAAGCTGCTCACCAACCACCTCAAGCAAGTCATCTCGTACCGCGCGTACAACGTGCCGAAGTCCACCGCCCCAGTCGGGCCGGGCCTTCGCACCCCACCCTCACGCGTCCCGGACCGCCGCGCGCGCCTCTCCCCGTGGCGCAGGTGATGGAGGAGACGCACCTCATCAACGACGTCAAGGCGACCCCCGCCCCCAGCCCCGCTTCCGCCCCCCCACCGCCCCACGCCCCGGCCCCGCTTCCGCCCCCACCGCCCCCCGCCCAGCTGCGCGCAGCCCCACCCCGCAGCAGCCCTCCCCGCAGCAGCCCTCCCCGCAGCAGCCCTCCCCGAGGCGGCCCTCCAGCGCGCCCCTCCCGCGCCGCAGGAGCGGCTCTGCTACGTCTCGCTCGACTTCGACGCCGACCTCGCCCTCACGCGCTTCCGCGGCAAGAAGAACACCATCCGGCGCGAGTTTGTCATGCCCGACTATGTCAACTCGATGCGGGGCACACCCAAGACCCAGACCCCGCCGGACACGTCCGCGACTCGCCCACGACGCGAGCAAGCTAACCTCCGATAGGCACCATCCGAGACCCGAACGCGCCGGCAGAGCCGGCGGCGGCGCCGGCGGCAGCGGGCGGCGGCGCGCGGGAGGAGGGGGCGCCTCCGCCTCAGAAGAAGGGGCGGGTGCCCGCGGACCGCGCAGAGGAGCAGGCGCTCTCGCTCTCCAACGAGCGGATCACGGTGCCCGAGCTGCTCTTCCACCCGTCCGACATCGGGCTCGAGCAGGCGGGGCTGCCCGAGTGCATCGTGCAGGCGGCCGAGGCGTGCCCTCCGGACATGAGGGAGGCGCTCTACGCAAACATCCTCGTCACGGGCGGGAGCAGCCGCTTCCCGAACTTTGAGGAGAGGCTGCAGCGCGAGCTGCGCGCCCTCGTGCCGAGCGACCTGCCCATCGGCTTCACCGCCGCCTCAGACCCGACGCTCGCCGCGTGGCGGGGAGGCTCCATCTTTGCGGCGGCGGCCGAGTACGACTCTGCGGTGGTGACCAAGGAGCAGTACCGCGAGGAGGGGCACGCGCTCTGCCGACGGAGATTCGCCGGCGCGTAGCATAGCAGGCACGCCGCAGCGCCGACACACGTCGATACATGCGCCACTGCCCCCCACTTTCTTGGTACGGTAAGCTGTGCGCGGGCGGCGGGCCGCCCTGCACCCCGGCGCAGACCAAAACCCTCAGGCGAGGTGTGCCACTGCCAGCGCTCCTGCGCTCGCATCGCGTGCATGTGGCATGTAGTAAGGTATGAGTCATCACTAATGTGTTGCGTTTTGGCTCATTTAGCAAACACGTGTCAACACATCGCATACAACAAGTGGTCACATCAAAAAAGAGAAAAGGGGGGGGAGTCGTGACTCGTGTGCGGCGCCGGCGGGCCGGGGCCCGGGGGACGCACGAGGCACACAAGTCACAACGCCAGAACACTTACTCCGGTCTCGCCGCCCCCGGCCCCCCCGCGCGCGAGATGCGCGCGCGCGCGCGCGCGCGAGGGCGGCTGGTTCCATTCAGGACGCGCAGAACTCGTCTCTCTACACATCGAAGCTGCGCCCCCTCTTCACCCGCGGTGGCGCGGTTGCCGACTGCTTCGCCTCCTCGAGGCCGGCACTGCGACCTCTTTTGACCCGCGGCGGCGCAGCCTCTGCCGACTTTGCCTCCTCGGAGGAGCTTCGGCGCTTCGCCGGCAAGGCGTCCTCGAGGAAGCGCCACACGACACCACGCTCCTTGCGCCCCACGCGAGATGGCGCCGCTGCGAAGTCGCGGGTCTGGTAGCGCCCGCTCTCATCCCAGAGGGCCCGGAAGGACCCGTCGACGAAGACGGCGACGACGTGAGCGAGGCGCCACACCGACCCCTCCTCCGCCTTCTTCGCGTGCGAGGCCTCGCAGTGCACCTCGAGCCTGGCCCCAGGCACCACGCCGCCCTGGGCGTGCAGGTTCCACTGCGCCTCGGCGAAGCGGAGCGAGAGCTGTGCGAGCGTGCTGCTCGCGAGCACGCGCCTCCGCCACGCCTGAGTGAGCTCGCGATGCCACGCGTCGCTCCACTCCACGTCCGCCGCCCCTCCATCACTGGCGCTACTGACTGGCGTCTGCACCGCGTCGTACATCCGCAGCAGCAGCGCCCGCAACTGCGCCACATCGACAGCCGTCTCAACCTCGAGCAGCCAGGATCGCCGCTCCTCGGCCCAGCTCGCAGCGTTGGAGGCGGTAGGGGCTCTCAATGGACCGCTTCGGGCCTCGCCAGCGCCACTACTGCCGCTGAGAAGAGTCGCCTCCACCGCAAGCAGCCGCCGCCGCATGGCGCGGAGGCTCGCCTCAGCTGCCTCCTCGATGGCCTCGGCCACCCCCTCCTCGTCCACCTCCTCCTCGTCGCCATCGTCAAAGCGCAAGCGCCACCTCGCAGGCTTACCGTCGCCGCGGGCGGGCCGCCAAGCGGACACGACGGCGTTGAAGGTTTCGCCCTTGACGATCCTCCGCACCCGTAGCCCAACCCAGTCGTGGGACGCATCCCACGAGTCCGTGCGACCGAGCTTCGCCTGGCCGCCTCCAGCCGTTGGCCCGCCGCTGCCATCGTCGTCCGCGTCTTCGGGCAGCGTCACCTCGGCTAGCCGCCGCCGCAGCTTCGCTTCACCCGGCAGGTCGCGCGCCTCCAGCGCGAGCTTGAGCAACGAGAGAGAAGCAAGCTGCCCCCAGCCACCGCCCTGGTGCTCGACCGCCAAGAGCGGCCCCAAGGGTTGGCCGCCTTGGTGGTCGTCTACAGGCGGCAACGGCCCGGGGAGCAGCCAGTAGACGGAGCCCTCGGCGTCGCGTCCCAGAGGCGTCAGGCGAGTCATATCGGCCCACTCTGCCCGCTGTACGGCCACCCTGTCAGCTTCGGCCTGCGCCGCAGCCTCAACCTTGGATGAGATCCGTCGGCCTCGCCTGCTTGCCCCCTCATCGCTTCCGCTCGCCGCCGTCGCCCCCCCTGCCTGCAGCGTCCTCACCTCCTCCTTCGCAAGCCGGATGGCGTCGCGAGCCGCATCCCTCACGGCCCTCGCCGCATCCATCGCCTCTTTGAGCTCTACCATGCTCTCGTGCTGCACTGCCGCGGCGGCCCAGTATGCGCGCTCGGTGTGGGTGAAATCCTCCTCAGCCGCGCAGAGCTCACCCCCGAGATCGGCTGCGCGCTGGCGCGCAGCAGCCAACGCCACCTTAGAGGCACGCTGCTGCTCCCGCTGTAGCTCCCGCACGGCCTTGGCCTCCCCGCGCCGCGCCTGTTGCAGCGACTCCCACGCCTCTGCAATCTCGGATCCCAGCACCTCGAGCGCCCGCTCGCAGAGGTTCCCGAGTGCCTGGCACTTGAGCGTGGCGTCGATAGACGAGTACTCTTCCACGCGCAGCCGGCGGCCGAGCTCAAGCAGCGACGGGTCGAGCCAATCCTTGTCGTGCACGGCCGACCCCTTGGACTCCTCCTTGAGCTTCCACTGAGCAATCACGAGCCGCAACACCTCGGGCCAGCCAACCCGGTCTGCGTCGAGGTAGGCAGCCAGGTCGCGGGCGAGCCACGCATGGACGCCTGTGCTGGGCCGGGGTACCCGGTGCACCTCCGTCGACTCGCCGTCCGAGTCGTCGTCGATGAGCGCCGTCTTATCCTCCCGCTCGAGAAAGAGGCGCAGCAGGTGGATGTGCAGCTCACCGACGAGGCCACTCTCGCCGCCCGAGCAGAGCCCGTCCTGAAGCTGCTCGAGGGTCGGCGTGACCAGGGCCCTGTCAGGCTGCAGCCGACGGCAAAAGCAACGCGCAAACTGCCACGTCACGAGCAGTGCTGTGGTCGCCTCGGCATCCAGCACTGAAGCGAGGGGCAACGTGTCCGGCAGCGAAGGCAAGCCACAGCTGCTCTGGCTTCCTGCCGGCGACGCACGCCCGTGCTGGTAGGACGCGCTGGACTCGTCGTCTGAGGCAGAGTTGCGTGCCGCGCCCGCCTCGCGTCTCGCCTTCTCAAATGGCAGACCCCCCCAATCGTCATCGCTGCTAAGGTCGTCTTCCCGCCCGCTTGAGGCGGCCCTCAGGGCGCCAGGCGCAGGGCCTGGCCGAGCTTGCGTCCCTGAGCGGCGACCAGTCTTCATTGCCGGCGGCATGTTTTCAATGCCGTCGCCGACAGTGGCCATCAATTTTGCCGAGATGCGTGGGGGGGGCGGGGGGGCGCAGACGACGCAAGCTCGCGCGGACGATGCAAGCTCGCGCGGACGATGCGCAGAGAGTTTCTGGTCAGCGCAGACGCAAGCAGGCGCGGACGATGCGTAGGGGGAAGCGCGAGGCTCCCGCGCGGACGTACCGGGATCGCCGGCGAATATCGAAATCGGGTTTTTCTCTCTCTAGTGTACGTACTTTTAGCGACTGGGAGAGAAGGGGAGACGGAGGCGCGCTCTCTAGGCCCTCTCTCTCCCTAGTGTATGTGGCTCTTACGTACTCCCGATTTTTTGTGCCAACATGCAAAGACAGAACCGGACAAGATCACGCACAAGTCGAGAGTTAATTAACAACCTCGAAACACCTCTCCGACGCGCTCGAGCTATGTACCTCTGTCGCACGAAACCCGGTGGTGAAACTGCTCTCCCGGCGTCGCACACTAGCCGTCGTGCGACTCGCCCGTGGGAGCATTTTTCTGCGATTCAATGTCGGGCAGCGAGGCTCCAGCCTTCAGCGATGACTCGTACGACTGCAGCAACACCCCCGCGGGCGAGCGGGCGAGCGGGCCCAAGCATTCTTCTCCTCCACGCTCCGCGTGCGCCGACAACCGGACGCGCAGCGAGAAGCGGACAGTGTTTGTCGCAAATCTGCTTCTCAACCTGTGCGGGGTCGTTCTCTGGGCTGGCATGCTGACAATCAACGCATTGTGCGCCGCTGTTCGAGCTTGCCGCGCCCCCGCCCACTTCTTTCTTACTCATAAGTGCGAGCGTGTCCTCCTGTGCCAGGTACGATGGCATCATCAGCACAACGGGCTGGGAGTTGAGTCAGGTGTCGCTCCTCTTCACCCTGCAGGTCTTTACCTGCTTCCTATGCTGCCCGTTGTGGGGGGTCGCTGCCTGCTACGTTTCGATTCGCAGGCTGCTCGCCGGCGCTCTCTTTGCCGGCGCGGCTCTCAACCTCCTAACTGGCCTCGTCTATCTGACGGACTCGTACGGCTGCTTCGCCGCACTGCAGATCCTCAAGGGCATCTGTCTCTCTCCTTGCCAATGCCTGAACCGCGCGCTCATCCCAAAGTACTACCGCCTCGCCGAGCGCGGCAAGTACTACGGCTTCCTTGAGGTTTCAGCCGGGATCGGCGGGCTGGCAGGCGTCATCTTTGGCGCCTCCTCGTACATTGGCGGTGCCGAGGGATGGTACGGGTGCGACACGGGCACGTCGAGCGACGAGAACGCCACCTTGTGCCCCGGGCTGGATGGGCACAACGTCACTTCCGTAGACGTTGCAGACGATGGCAGGTGCGACGGCGCACTGCCAAAGTGGTCTGTCCCCTTCTTCGTCCTCGGCGCCTTCATGGTCCCATGTGCCGTGCTCGTGCTCTACTTCGTGGTGGACCCCACGAAAGACGAGAAGCTACGCACGAGGCTCGGCCAGGAGAGGCTGAAGGCGATCTTCCCCGGTCTCCGTGATGAGGACACGCGGTTGAGCTTT